CAAGAATAATAGCGTCATGCTGTTGAGCATTCTGGAAAGATTTGTTCAGTGATTCTTTTCGTAGCAAATAAATGGAATACTGGTTGAATGAAATTGTATTTCATGAAATAATATCAGTAATGGAAGAGACATTTTGCTTTTTGGAGCAGATTCTGGAGCAGAAAAAATTGTGATTTGGGGCAGGCTCAAGTGTCTTCAGAGCAGAAAAAATGCTATAGCTTAGGGTTGCTATTGGTGTTTCCGGAGCAGATGCATGTTACTAACAACTCCTGAAGTCTAAAACATCACTTAGGCCTCTAATAAATATTTATATTTATTAGTAAACATGCCGTATGCTAGTATGCAGCTAGTACACAAACAGTAAACTTGGCGTAAATCATGAGCGGAGGGGGGGGAGTCAAGAGAGTCTGGACTTTTCTGGTGTTCAGGCTGTGGAGGACACTTTGTAAGTGTCCCACTTGAGATTTAGCTTTATCACCTGCTATAATTGAGTTAACAGTTAAGCATAGCGTAATCAACTTTTTAAAAGGCTCTTTATCTTTTACTGCGTACCTGTGGTAAATGCCCCTCAGCTGTGTGAACAATGGAAATCAAAAAAAGGTGAAAAAAGGAGACTGAATAGAACATAACTGAAAATTTTGTTGAAGCGCACTAAAAACCAGACGGACAGAAGAAGCTGACAAGGACATTACTTTCCCTGTCCTTGTGAGCTTCTTCTGTGCTGTCCTTCTCAACTTCTTCTGTGCATCTGTTTTTTAGTGCGCTCCAACAAAATTTTGCACTGTCCTTGTCAGCTTCTTCTGTCCATCTGGTTTTTAGTACGTTTCAACAAAATTTTCAAATATGAATGTAATCCAACTGGCCCAACTTGCCATCTTACTGATTAGAACAATGCAATTGCTCAAGCTCGGACCCCATGCTAGTTTCTTTTTAAAATTTTATATGAAAGCATGGTTCAATTCCTATATAAATAAAAATACAACTCCTAGTAAAAATACGAATTGGAGACCATGGCCTGATATGTGTCACCCATACATATTTCTCTGGATTCATACCACTGTATAGCATACTAGGTTGATAGTGTATACAGCTTGCTTTTGGTTTCACTTATGCTAACGGGATGGTCCCATGGTTCAACTTCATTCTTTTTAGTTTGCCACCACCATTTTAGCGCAGATTTACAGCAGTTACCAAGCAAATGTTGCACTTTGGAGCAGCATGAAGTAGCATTTTCCTTTTGGAGCGGTTTGTAGCAATTGAAGCAGCACCTCCATCACTGTGACCTGTACATTCTTCGTTGCAGACTTTATTGGACTGACCACTAGCCAACTTTAGGCTATCAGTCTAAAGAGTCTTTGTATTTTCATTATTATTTTCATAAAAATAAAGTTACACTGATCGATTGATATGAACTTTTATAAAAGAAAAATTTATCACTTCTTGCGATTATAGCTTTCTCCACTTAAAGACATTGTTTGGTTGATTCTCGGCAGTCACAGATGCACAGACAGCCTCAGAAAAGTTTGCCATGTGGCTCCATGTTTTCATGCTGCCTCCTGTTTACCCTCGATGCCGCTTTGCCAGTGAAGAAACGTCTGGACAGTTGACGACCTTGCTTGCGCATCCAAAATCTGCATGCGATGCTCACCACGGTTAATTGTGAGTAAAGTGCAGTGGGCCTCTCACACTGCTTTAGAATGCCTGTTCTAACTTTCTTTCACTTTGTCTGTGCCACATACCTACTGCCACCTCATCGGAAGTGATCACTGTAAAGGTGGGAGCCTATAGAAAATGTTCCCTATATGTGGACGCTGTTTCAATGAGTAGCGTCGGAAAATTGTAAGTGCAGCAAAATATGGCCACGCGCATTTCTTATTTACACTTATGTTTCATTTGGTTCTCGCCCACAAAGCCTGTCTGGAATGCTCAGGGCAAACTGCATCTCACTGTTCTAGAAGGTTCACGATTATTATAGACCATTTTGTCAAGATTACACCCACTTCATCAACATCCTGGATTATTCTAGAGCCTAGGTCACTGCTAGCGATAACGCTAGAGTATTCGATGACAAGTGTATAAATGCTGACACGCTTTGTCACTTGTCAGTTGATTGACGGCCTACGTTCTGTTTGCCACTATCAGTGCCAGTGTCTTGCTGTAATGTGACTTTCCTTTTGCGTGGCCACAAGTTTGGCTTGACTAAACAGTTTCATCTTCGACCTGAAGTCTGCTCCCTTGGTCACGACCCCGTGACAATATTGTTGTTCGACTAGGGGGATTCGACTGCAGTACTGTATACATTATTGCAAAAGTAAAAACCTTGATACCACACATCAAATCAGAAAAGTGACCATCGTAGTAGTGAAAAACATAAAAACAGTAGCATAAAAGATCATATGATGCTGACCACATGTACGCGTTGCAGTGTGTCAGAGCGTGGCTTTTTAGACACGCCACTGCGTCAAAAAACCATTAGAGAGATTAAGAGGAGTGTGAGTAGGAAGAGGAGGACAATTGACTAGGAAGAAGAAAAAAACAAAAGCAGATTTTTAATTCCAGTCGCCTAGGCAAATGCATAAAGACCCGACCGCACGTGCGCGTTGCAGTGTGTCAGAGCATGGCATTACCCTACTTGCCAAATTCAAGGATTCTAAATCCGGGAGATGTCCGTAACTGAGAGAGGGGGTTGAGGGTTTAAATAGAAAGGGGGAAGTCCCAATCGCAAGCCCCAACATCGGCGCTGCGGTCTCATATTGGCTCAGAGTGGCCGAACACACGAGGTGGTTTTCCCACAAAGGTGAGAGCCTTAAGGGGGCAGACTGGTCTTTGGGACCAAAAAGTGACAAAAAATTAATTTTTTAAAATTGACATATTTGGTTTCAGCAAGTATTTTTCAATCTTTCTGCAAAATTTCACATACCAGGAAGTTGTATTTTTTTTGTAATGTTATTTGAACTGTCTAGATTCTTGGTGCTGTTAACATACCTGCAAAAAAAATGGGGAACTGACTTCAAGGCTTCTTTATAATTTGCCGGGATTTTTTGTTAGAAGCTCTGCTATGAATTTATGAGTGCCTTTATGAGCATTGATAATAAACATGCGCACCATGATTGTTGCTTTTTGAAGAAGCTGTGTGTTTTTGGTTTTTCCATTTTTCTCAAAAAAAAATAAATTCACGACTGTTCAATTTTGAGGCCTCAATATCTCGGCAGCTAGGGCAGGTACAACAATCATTCTTTTTGCAATGGAAATCTGTATGTGTGTAGAATGCAAGTATGGGAGCTTAATTTAGAGCACAAGCCTTTTTAATTAATTACTCATCAAAATTGTAGTACAAGTACAACTGCTTTTGAATATGAATAGCTCATTTTACTGTAAAATAACCAAGGAAGGCTCAAAAACAAAAAAAAACTCCTGCATAATTTCAATCTATAGTCATTAGTCTATGTTGGCATATCTTAAATATCACTTTTTATTAAATGCTTTTTTTTCAATGGCGGCCTTAAACAATAGAAGGTGAACTTAAGTTATCTCATGAACAAGATGTGTTACAGAAAGATTATTTAAATATTTGAAATCAGAAGAAAAAACTGCATAATTTTGTGCAGTTTGATCAAGAGAACTGAAGAAATAAACAAAAATGTCTAAGACCAGTCTGTCCTCTTAAAGAAGAGCGCAAATACTCCTGAAATTTCGCGTCAACAAAACGACTAGCAAAATTTATTTCCGTCAGAACAACTTGCGAATGTCTTTCTAGGACACATGTAAACGGACGAGTAGCGTAGCTGGCTTCCGCCAAAGCGCGTGTCAAATCTTTAGCTTTGCTCACAATTAGATTCTTTGGACAGGAAGACCAAAATGCTTCTAGCCTTTTCTTACATCTTTACTGCCTTTAGTCTACTGCAGCATTAACCACGTGATCTTCGAGCTCGTAGATTGCTATCGCGCTGCCGCGACAGTGGTTTCCTGCGCGCCAGTTGCAGCTAACTGTGGTTCCGTTTTCAATCTGTGTGCGTTGGCTGCACACATGTGTTCAAAACTAAGTCCTTTTATGCTATCTATGATCGCATCTGTCGAAGTATTGTCCACGGAGCTTGCGGAAAGAAGCGTTGCTGTGACTAGTCGAGCGTCGGATGCGTGCACACGTTCGGAGTGCTGTCAGTATCGTAATCGCCATACATGATCGCAGTTTTATCCACAGTGGTTGTGGCAACAACCACATGCACTGTAGAAGACAATTCGTGCGCTTATGGCACGCTTACTTCTAAAGCTTCAAGCACGCTGCCCTTGGTAGGCCTTCGTTTGACAGTTTCAGTACTGAAATGCACATCACACACCGCATTTTGGAAAAGGGTTCGAAACATTCGATTTTTGGCTCAATGGGCACAGTAAAATTTGGCTGGGACATTTTACGAATTCATATCTGCCGTGGTTTCGCATCACTGAGACTACTCTATGTTTAGATGAACGCCTTCTAAAATTGTTTATAATAAAATGCGGTTGGTTCGCAAAAAGCCTGGAGTGAACCAACCTAAACTTTTGACAATGCAGTCAGATCACACAAAAAAATTTCGATTTTCGGGAGATTTTCATGACAATTATACAAACGGAAGAAACGGTCTGAAAGTCTCCTGGACAATCCCGGACAGCCACCCTATTGCCCTGTCTTCAGACTTGTTTCTCAACTTGAAAGGCCCATGGAAGGACAGCAACCACAGCTCGCTCTTGACCATACAAGAAGCCGCAATGAAGAGCGTTCCGGTTCCAGCATTCCAGATCTGGAAAGGCTGATAAAGGACATATTTTCGAAAGGGCAATTGTAGGCTGTTATGCCCAGAGCCTTTGTGTCAGTTTCACATCGAATAGCGATCCCAGCGAAATTTTTTCAAATGAGAAGAGATAGTCTTAACGCTGTCGTAATTCCCCATCCTAAATGTCTTGCAAAGCCTGCTTAAATTGTCACCGGAACGTGAAGAGGTGCAGTGACAAAAGCAGCCTACCTTGTAGCATTCTATGCGGGCAGCATAGGCTTGTCGGCCACGCTCATCTTCGGGACGCTCACCCTGCTGGTAGAAATGCAAGGCCAGACCCTGGGGATCCACTTGCTTGGCTAGAGAGAGGCCGAGGTCGATGACACCCGCGTAGTGACTGCAGCTGGTGAGCAGACCACAGGCTGTGCCCAGAGGCAACTGGGGACCAACCTGTAATGGGAGCACTCCTAAAATCTACATTCCTTTTGGTAGCCTCCGTACCAGACTGCATCATGTCACATACTGACAAAGAGGGCCACTAGCTGTTCTTTTCTTTGATTTCGTGGCGTCCATCCGTGTGTCTGCATACAAAAAATGCCTAGCGAGCAGTGGTGTAGCCCATAGAGCTTCCAAAAATTAAATAGAGGGAACTCTGGCGCTGTGATCGTTCAGCGACTATGGGAATGATCGGTAGTACACGAATTTGCCTAGTCTTCATACATACGGGTGACGAATCACACTAGTGGCTTCGTTTATTGCTGTGTTTCAGTTTGGTATCGGCAGAAAGAACGAACCCTTTTGAACTTCGTGACCTGATTTAAAATGGTAAGCCTAAATGAATAAGGTGGTGAAGCGCAACCGCTGAACATTTGCAGATTTTTGTTTTGCGAGAAAACAGCTTCAAGTAACACGAACATACAGAGCCAGAAGTACGAAGATTAGACAAATCCGTGTACAACCCGTCATTCCCATGCTCGCTGAAGTGCTGTGTGTTACAGCTACCGTAGACACTAGCACTAGAGCTCCCACTCGTGTATATTTAGGAAACTCTATGGTGTAGCTTGAAGCACTCTGGATCACCAAAGTGGCAACACTGGTGCCAGTGATGGAATAAACAGATGCACCATACAGTAAAAAAACAAAAACACTGGTAGGTGTTTGTTCCCTTCAGTCGAGTCTAGATGCTGCGCTGGTGTGGTCCTATGTGGCAAGTATGGGTCAGCTATGAATGGCGAGAATGTCAGAAAAAGCAGTGAACTTATTGAATAGCAGTGATGAGAACAAAGATGACAATGTGCCCGTCAGCCTCGTTTGTGACCCATCTTCACAGGGTAGAAAAGTCTCGAGTTTTCGTATTGTGAATTGAAATATACAGTGAAGGTGGATTGATTTGGCTCTGGGAACAGGTCGGAGTGAGATAATAAAGTATGTCTCAATCAAGTTAGTGGCACTGACGTCAGACTGCAAAGTTTGACTAAAATTATTACTTGTCAACTTGCCCAACTTTCCACACTGCTTGATTTATAAGCACACAGACTCGGAAGGTTGTTAGGTGAGCTGCATTTTTCAAAAGGTTGCTTACACAACAGATTTAAATTCAGACAAGTCAACAACAATCCCTGCTAAATAACACTGTTAACGACACAAACGTTTTCTCGATATGCCATGAATTTTCAATGTGTCAACTGGTGTCCTTGTTCATTGCCAGTCACTATCCTGCCCCATTGATGTGCTGTGAATAGCGGGAGAAGCCACAAGAATTAGAAGGCAAAAATTAATTTGGTACTGAAGTTAAATAGGGCCTCATTCACTTGTTCCAGATGAAATAATGCTTCATAAAAACACTTTAGGGGAAAACAAATAATGTGAATGAAGATAGATTACACTCGCCTACAGTAAAACCTCATTTACTCAATTTTGAAAACAAAATGTGGTTACAACATACTATTACTATTAAAGAAAAAATTCGGCAGATCCCCCGTACCTGGGAATCGACGTTATCTAAAGCATGCAATCAGACATTCTCTGACGCTATCGACGTTATCCGAAGCACTGTATTGCAATTTTTTTATTGAGCGACACGTCATGAAATCACGCTGAATATATGTACAAATGTTGCACACAGAGACACATGTTGAAGAGTTGCAAATGTTTATATAACCACTCGTTTGATGAACTTGCATAACGATGCCTATTAGAACATGCGTATTAGCAACATCAGAAGCTAATATGAAGCGCTGATGCTCGCGAGCATGTTGGCCCTGGACATTGCTACATGAGTCAACTTCAGCGCATGGTAACTAACCACAGTTTACGTTAAGCCGATGTGATGGCTGTATCAAAGCAGTACATATGTAATGTTTATAAAATTGGGTAGGCTGCACTGCAATCACTATTGATGTTTCAAGAAGATTAGCGTAGTTCTGAGATCTAGCATAGCTCTGTGGTAAAATGCTCCGAACCCAAGCAGAACACTTGGGTTCTATTCCAACTTGGACCCTGACATTTATTTTTCGAATTCATTGGGTTGACGCTACCGATGTCAAGTATTTACGTTCACGCGTTAAAATTGCCTATGTATGTTTTCATCGTTCTTTGGTAGATACAAATTGTCAATCACCTGTGGCACATACCCACATACCAGCAGCACAAACACGCCCGTGGGTATGTGCCACTGTCTGACGAGAAGTGTGACAATGTACGCGACAAAATTGCGACAATATTCATGTCCTGACCAGCGTGGAATATTCGTCAAACTATGTTACCCTCCCATGCTAATTTTCGTTCACGCCAAATTAAGGGGATGACCACGAGAGCACCCAAACATAAGCGGCTAGATAACATAAATACGCTCAATGTCACCAAAGTTCGCTAAGAAATGCTTCGCATTTAAAAGTGTGATTCTAATTCACTGAGACATCAACAATTTACCTTGGTACTGAAATCACGACGGTTGGCATAGGCAAAACCGTATGAAATAAAAAAATATCCCCTCAAGTGCATTTTTAGCTCACTATACATAATCACTCTGTCGCACTTTTAACTACTGCCTTGTGCAAACTGCACCCGAATGTCTGAGATTGTTTTAGAATCTTCCAATAGGCTTAAGCACAAAAAATTAGGGGACCCTTAAGCTTCGCCTTTAAGAGTTGAACGCGATAGCAAATCCGGCCTTTAGTGCGCCCTTCAACTGCTAAGTGCATATTTATTAATATGTTTTGTTATGCACACAAACGCAAGCGCGACATATCTATAGTAAGAGTACAGGTTTTCGATCTATTTAACAGCAGTTTTATAGCAACTTAATGAAAATATTGTACTATGATGTAGTCACATGGTCCTCCTGTATTGTGAACTGCGCGTAGGCATGACACTTGTATTCGTAAACGGTCACATTCTGTCATCCGTCTTGCGTTAGTTATCTGAAAATTGTTCGACTTGTTCTTCCGGAGACCTCTTCCGGCCGACCGCAACAAGCATCGCCTAATGGTCGGTGAAATGGCAACTGCCATACTTCACTTCTTAAATGGTGTCGTTACAACGAAAAGCTAGACCTATGCAACTGTTGTTGTTTGTTGAAATGGCACTTTCTTGAAGGGGCATGAAGAGCCTCACAATGCCTCACAGATGGCAGCACATTATCAAGCGTCAATATAACAAAGATTGCCAAGCTGCCAAGGTGCAACAACTCATTTTTAGAAAACATATCTTTGCCGCACAGATAAGCTTCCTCTTATACCTTTAAGATTCATTTTTCTCAAGATCCATTTATGGGCAACTTATTGAGTTTGGACTTAATCAGTGGCATAACTAGATAAGATGGCACCCATGGAAAAGATATATTTACGTGCCCCCATGATGGTAATTAGAGTGATTATTATTATTATTATTATTATTATTATTATTATTATTATTATTATTATTATTATTATTATTATTACAGTGTCAAAAAATTTCAATATGTCCTGGTAAAGGGAACCATGTGAGGATGCGAAGCAGCGGGGACATGATGAACTCGTTTATGTCGCCTTAAACAGGTGGAAAAACATTGAGAGCCTCTACCTGACTAACGCTGCCAGTAATTATCACTTTCACTACAAGAACAACGTGGACAAGAACATGATGAACGACTTCAATTCCTTGACAACCACCGTCTCAAGACCGTCACTCAGCGATACCTCCGGCGCTTGTTTCGCCGCTGACTCTGGAAAAAGAGTGGGGAGTGTAGAAGAGGAGAATGAGGGGCAGGAGATGTGCGTGCGCCGGAGGAAGAAACAATGCCCCCGCCATAAGCTGCTTTGCATCTAAAAAGCCATCTTGGTGTTCTGGGCAAGCGAATGAGCGACATCTTGATTGATGGTTCACTAGAGCGAACTAAAGCCATCTTGCATGTCCACGCATCGTACGACCCAGGTTAGAAAAAATGTGAGAGAAGAAATGAACCTTGCTCACTTGTCTAGTTTTCATAAAAAATACATTATTCCTAAATTACATGCAACCACACAAAAGAGAACGATGAAGTCGGCATGCAAACGGCTCTTATCATTTAGCCATTAAATGTACTGTTCTAAATAATTTATTGCATTCATCAAATCTGCATACTACACCTCCTTTTTTTTGTCAATGCTAATAATGTATTCAAGAACCCGTTATGGCAAACCCTGTTGTCACAAAATTAGCACGCACGCGAGTGCAAATTTTGGTTGTGAGAAATGGTTGTAAAAAAAATAATAGGTTCAACATATTTCACATAGCATGACACAGGTGCATTACGAAAGGAGCTATCCTCCCACAATTTAAATCATCAGCTGCCCTCTCGACCTGAGGTCTCGAACCCGCGGACCCCTCGACAGTGAACCCCATCCTGCCTGTCTTCATCGCACCTTTCTTTTTTTTTTTTTTTTTTCCTCGAGGGAGCCCCTGCACTCAGCATGTCTTGATGTATAACTGCCAAACAAAATTCTATATTTCAAAATTGCCTAGTTTAAGTAGATTTATGTTGTTGCAATCTAAATGCCCAATCCCCTTCGAAAACGATTGATGCATGCGATAGGAAAAAATAGTTCAAATTGCGATGTTAGGCATTTGAAATATTTTAGCCTTTTTTTTTGTGTGTGTTTTGTGCTTTATTGGGAGTCACACAAAAGGTGGCCAAAGAAAATGTGATGAAAAAGAAAGAGCGGTTTTTCCTTATGTACACCAATTGGCGCATGAGTTGGTATGGCGTCCATGTTCTGTTTTCCGCGAAACATAAGGTAGGTCGCATTTGCTCGATGGGTGACAATGCGCTGAAGAACAAACAAGCCAAAAGAAAATGTGCTGTGAATCATAAGAACAAGTACATTGCATGCGTAAAAAACAAAAAGCTGTGCATTTGACTCATTATCATGTGGTAGAGAGTATGTGGGACAAACAAAACAATGTGTGAATGTTCGTTCAAGAGAGCATGA